TGTACATACATAACTACCACTAAAAGCAGTTTTCTTTCTTTCTTTCTTTTTATTTTTTGCAAAATGTCTCTTAATATGTGTGACTCCATCTAAAATTCAGGGTCCTCTGATACCAGGAATCGTGGTGCTGCAGAGCAGATGTGGACTAGAGCAGCGTCTTCTGCATGTTCAGAGTTGTGTCATTAGCATGAGGAGAGCCATTAATACATACCATGTGCTGTGTCACCAAGTCACACTTGGTGATGTTGTAAAGTGAGATTAGCAGAATGAGCTTGAAGTTGTCCTCTTGCTGCCATTTGATAGAGGGGAAAACAGCTATATCCACTGCCAAAGCTGCAACTAATATTCAGTGCTTAAGAAATTCAACTGATGCATTCATAATTAATAGGATTTTATGTAATTAAAATTTTAAATAAATCCTCAACATGAGCCCTGATTTGGGCTTCTTAATTTCAGATATGGAAGTAGAGCTTTTTACAAAATAGGTTGAGGGGCTTTTTTTCATCCTTCTCTTTTCTTTCATCTGAGAGATTTACAAAATCTCATTAGCATAATAATAAAAAAAAAAAAAAAACCAGGAGAAGAGAAATTAAATGAAGACCAGGATTAAAGGCTGACTAGTCTCTTCATGTCACCTTTATAGTTCTTTGGAACATCTGTCCCTCGTGGTGGGTGTAAGTAGCGTGGAGGCGGATATTAGTGGGTGGTGAAATTTTTATGAGGCAGAAAGAAGCTGAGAGTTAAGAAATTATTGGAGCATTTTCCATACAGACGAGAAGAAGAGACAGAGCCCCCAAAACCAGGGAAAAGGAGAAAGATGGTAAGAAAATTGAAGAAATAGTACATTTCACTACCGATTTGTTGCAAGAGAATCTCCAAAAGTAACTGTGAAGCTCCCAGCAAAAGCATCTGCTGTGGTTAAGGGGCTAGAGCACGGGGAGCTAGGGGAGCTGCATCCCTTTCTTGGACACGATCCCCAAAAAGTCACATAACCCAAGATGTGAGTTTGAAGGCTGGATTAGTTAGTGGATAAAGAATTAGTTGGATGGTCATAGCCAGAGGGTAGTGGCAAATGGCTCTGTGCCCAGGTGAAAGCCCATGATGAGTAGTGTCCCCAGGATTCCATCTTGGGACTGATGCTCTTCAACATCTTTATCAATGACAAAGACACATAGAGAGTGGCATCGAGAGCACCCTCAGCAAAGCAATGCAGTTGACACAACAGAAGGAAAGGATGCCTTCCAGAGGGACCTGGACAGGCTTGAAAAGTGGGCCCATAAGAACCTAATGAGGTTCAACAAGGCCAAGTTGTTCTTGGGTTGAGGCAGTTCCAGACTGGGAGAAGAACTTGAGAGCCACCATGCGGAGAAGGACTTGGATGTCCTGGTGGATGAAAAGCTAGACATGAGCCAGCAGTGTGCTCTTGCAGTCCAAAATGCCAACTGGATCTTGGGCTGCATCAAAAGGAAAAAAATCATACAAGTTTGCCCTGAGGATGGATGATCCCACTTGCGTGTTCATCTCTCAAGATGAAATGAATTGCACTTCTGAGTTCTCCTTGGGTTGTAAAAGGAGCTGATGCACTTCAGACTTAAACACCTACTCCTCGTGTTTCAAAGTTAGAACAGATGAGTCATACCTGGAGCGATTTATAGAATTTTTAGCAGAAAGTCTGTAGAAATGTTGGGACAGGACCCAGAGACGCCGTGTCTCAGCTTCAGATGTAAGTATTTTCCATGAAGAGAAAAACACCACGTATTTGTAAATTGCTCTTTGCCAAATGTACAGAGAATTACACTGTAATAAGCCACATCATTAAAAAGACATTGGTCTGTAAGCAGCAGAGCCTGCTTTCCTGTGGCTTGCATTTCATGACTGGATTATCTTATGTTTAATGAGGACCACTCTGACTAAAGGCTTTTCTCCTGTTCATAAAGACACTGCCTCATGTGGATTTTCTGGTGTCTGATATTATATTTGGACTCAAACTGCAGTTGTTTATGTTCTCCTATCTGAAAATGTTATTTGCCCATGTGGCAAGATACTCTTCTGTGGAGATATGAAAGGGTTAAATCTCTCAACCTGCCCAGAGAAGTAGTGAAATTAGTCTTTGACACTTCTATCATGCTTAAATTTGGCTGGAATTGACCAAGAAGATAAAAGACTATTAAGAATGAGATTTTTGAAAAGCTTTATGATGTCTATTCCACCTTTTAGTTTTAGAGGCTCAATTCACAGCCATATGAAAGACAAACAAGTGCAGAGGCACCCCTGCAGTTACAGTTCTACCCCCCAAAAAATGTAAGTTAAAAAACAGTTTTTCTGTGAAACCTTTTTCACAAAGACTGGGAATTTTTAAAATATTTCTGTCAAAATATTACAGAATTCACAAGTTAGAAGCAAAAATGTTGAATAATTCAGAAATCAGACTTTGAAAATCCTTCACACCACGATCAGAGAATAAAAATAGATCATGTGGTTTGCACAGGAATTCTAGAATTTTCAACAAACTTTTGCTGAATGAGGCTGGACCAAAAAATTAATCTCAGAAACAATTCATAAGAACTTTTCAGGAATGGAACATGCTGAATGGAATCCTCATTTATTTGCACACCGGGAAATCACAAATGAAGGAAAGGAGCAATACACAATGAATAAATTGCTCACTGAAATTTATTTTTCTTGTTCCTGAGTCATAAAAAACATGATTGTCATTTCATGATTTTGGAGAGACCTCAACTTTCTTACTTTGAATACAGTTTAGACCAATGAGCTACCAATGCACTCCATGCTTATCAAATTAGGAGAATGCATTTCTAAATTCAATTACAGCCTCAGTGGAAATGGTTTCTCTGACTCTGGTAATCTTTGGAGAGGAATTATACACAGTCTATAAAGCTTTACATTTCAAAACCCAATTTTGAATGTTATTCAAGAGGTTAATTTAAGATTCATCTTCCAAAAGAGGAGTTAAATAAAACTGATAGAAGGCTGGAACTTGTCGAGTGGTTGAGAGGTTTATCAGCATGTGAGTATGAGTTCATTAGTTTTAATTAGTATAATCACTAATGTTGCATTAACAGTTTGGTGAGAGAAAGTAATTGCTCACACCCACTGTATTAGATTGGGAGATTAGAATTCATTTTACGAGGCAATTAGCATTTCAGGGATTTTTTAAAAGGCTTTTACGATCTGCCATTGCAGAGCTTCCTTCACCAAAAGAGTTTAAATTAACCATAACTTTCATCTTAATGGGATGCAAAAATTAATGTAGAATTAAGTGTGAACCAGTCCTCTGCAGCAATCCCAGAGCGACAAGTAGGCAGCTAAAGCCACAAACCTCGATTAGCTTATAATGACCTGCTTTATTTTCCAGACAATGATAGTCATTTATCTGTCCTCAATTCATTATCTTGTTGAAAAGTTTATATTCCTGAATTTTATACAGCAAAACAAATAAAAAATGAGGAAAGTAGAAAGTAGAACAGTACTATTAAAGTAATAACTCTCCAAAGAAAAAGCTGGAAAGTTCAATAATAGTATTTAAATAGTACATTATTCTTCATATCAGGTGTCAGAGAACGTAGAAACACCTCGCTGTTGTGCTCAGGGTCTTGGGAAGAGCTATGCACTATCTGGATGTGGCCCTGGGCATCCTGATCTGGGTGTTCCTGCTGGAGCACAGTTTGGAGCAGAGGGACCCAGAGGGCCCTGCCTGCCTCAGCTGTGCTCTGGTTCTATGATTCTGTGAATATGCAACAGCAATCATAACCCTAGCCTGGCCATCACATCCCTCAGACAAATGGAGATTCTGAATGAACACCAAGAACTTTTATTGTCCTGGTTGGCAAGGAAACCCTGGTCGTCTAAGAGTTGGGATAGCTAACACAAGAGGTTCCCTTCCAAATTGTCTTGGAAAGCAAAAATGCAAATTCTGGGGGTGGAAACTAATGGTAGCAGCAGCAGAGAGCCTCAGTGTCAGCATTACATGGACACACATCTCACAGGTTGCACCTTCTAGTTCTGCTTTTATTGGCTATACATGCATCCCAGGGTTATACCCACTTTGTATTTTTAAGCTTTCCCTCAGCAGTGCCTGTATAGAAATGTCTTTCACCTTTAGCGGAAGATGGTGGCAAAATTACAGCGTCTCAAGCAGCAGGACATATGTATGGACATAGAAACCTAGACTTATCCCACATTAACACTCTAAGTTATAAACCCATAGCGAACTGTAGTCACTATCCTTTGGGTATTGGGAATTATAAGAAAGTTTAGAAAACATACAAATGTCTGAAACAAAATGTCTGCATTTATATATATACTCTTAATTCTTATGCAACTTACAAGCATCTCCAAAACAACTCAGGAGACAATCTCCCTTCTACATGAAAGCATCTAAAATTGAGGTCCAACCAGGCAAACTGGATCTCAGCCTTAGTCTCTCTGGCAGCAGCCACTGCCACGTTTAAGAGGTGAATTACTCCAGCTAAGGTCAGAATCAGCTGGTGGAAAGGGCTGCATCCCTCTGTTGACTGCAGAGACAGTCTAAGGTAACCATGTTTCTGTCTCAGATGGCTGAAGTAAATGCTAAAAATTAGGCTGGATGAATCATGACCATCATGCGGATGCCTGAGGGTTTGCCTATGCATGGAGTTATTGCAGCAGAGCCATTACTCTTTCCAAATACCATTACATGTGGACACACATTTGGTTGGATAAAACTTACTCATTCCTCTTCAACAATGTCTGCTTGACAGAAGCAGTGCAGTTTGCTTCCTAGTCATCACGTGCTATCACTCTGCTAGAGCCTCTGCCTTCCCAGTTAGCTGCCTTACTTTAATCCAAATTAACTTTAGCATTCTAAATTTACCATCTATCCACCTTTGAGAGCCATTTAGGATTTATGGAGGAAAGTGCATCAGTTAAGCACAAATACATTGACCAGAAAAAAATGAAGGAACTGTATACAATAAAAACTGACTTTTATTTTACGAATTATGGGTGTTATAAAGCATATCATTTCAGAAGAAATGCCTGTATTTGCCAGTGTGTTTCATTAAAGCATAATAAAGCTGTACATATTTCATTTCCTTGTTCTGAGCTGCAAGAGCTGTAACCATATAAAATGCCCCATGCTGTCCGTGTTTTGTAGGGCTTTTTTTTCTTTTTAATCAGATTTTCCCCCCTGAACTAATGAAATTGCTCTTGAAACACATACATCACTTTCATTTAAGGTGACTTATCATGGCTCAAATGGCTTCTCTCTTCTCCTGGAGAACAAGGCATCTGCCAACATATTTTGCTGTGCAAATCCAGGCTTGTATCACCTCTGATCTCAGTCTGGTTTCAGGAGTGTTGAATTCTTGGTGCTCCCTCTGATGCTGTTTTAGTTGGGATATCAGGTGGCTGGTGTTTGAGGGGTCTGCACCCTACATATCTGCACTGGTTCCCTGTCCACCTATTGTTTGCGGTTTGTCACACTCTACAATTCCCCGAAACAAGGTTGTAATGAGGTTGAAGTCGGTCTCTTTTCCCACATGACTACTGATAGGATGATAGTTAATGACCACAGGTTGTACCAGGAGAGGTTCAAGTTGGACATTAGGTAAAACAACTCAGAAAGAGTGGTGAGGCACTGGCACAGGCTACCCAGGGAGGTGGTGGAGTCACCGTCCCTGGAGGTTCAAAAAGCATGTAGATGTGGCACTGAGGGGCATGGGTCAGTGGGCATGGTGGTGATGGGTTGATGGTCAGACAAGATGATCTTAGAGGTCATTTCCAGTCTTGATGATTCTATGATTTCTCCCTTCTCATAGTATGCACCAACCCGTTGTGCGGTTGCACAGACATCCACGGAGCAAGGCAGCCTTCCTCCCTGCCATCACCATGAAGCAGTGCACGACCCCCAGCTGGTTCCCTGTACGTGTCCGCTCTTCTCCTGTCCATGGGAAGGGCACCTGGAGGTGGTGGTGTCCCACCTGAGGCAAACTCACCGTATCAACATCCTTCAGGGGGCAGAGATTGTCTTCCTGGCCACGGACATGCACCTGCCCGCACCCACGGACTGGATCATCATGCACTCTTGCCTTGGCCACCAGTTTTTGCTGGTTCTCAGGAAGCAGGAGAAGTACAAAGGTCACCCCCAGTTCTTTGCCACCATGATGCTGATTGGCACGCAAACCCAGGCTGACAACTTCACCTATCGGCTCGAGCTCAACAGGAACCAGAGGCGCCTCAAGTGGGAGGCAACTCCGAGGTCAGTGCTGGAGTGCGTTGACTCTATCATTTCAGATGGGGATTGCCTTGTGCTGAACACTTCCCTGGCTCAGCTCTTTGCCGATAACGGGAGCCTAGCAATAGGAATTGCAATAACCACCAGCAAAGTTCACAACAGTGAAGCTGAAATCTGAGGGCGAAGAGGAAGAGAAGGAGGAGTAGGAATAATGGTGCTCTAGTTGCTTTGTGAGAGCCAGAACTTGCAGACTTTTTGGGGGGGTCTCAGGTCTTTTATGGTATTTAGTACTGGTCCACAGTGGGCATTATGTAAACATCCCGTGGTTACAGTCTCTGTGTAATGTATTTACTGTTTTGTTAATACAATTTTATGAGAAATTTTAAAGAGGCTGATCAATTTATTGTCGCCTTTCAGCAACACTGGTACCTTTTGGTTTGATGCTGCTGCCCTGGAAAGTGCACCAGGAAAGTGCACTTGTATCACCTCTGATCCCAGACTCATAAAATCCTTTGGTTTGAGAATGCCATGAAAACACACTTCTTCCACTGCTTGCCTAATTGCTACGTATTAAGAAGGCCTGCATGTCTGGTAAACATAAAGTATTCCACTAAGGTACAAGAACACTCAATTTGCAATAAATTCCCTGATCACTGATTCAAGAGCAGCTTCAGAGAAACTGATGTACTGCACTGAGCTGACTGCAAGTGGGCTGGTTTGCAAAAGGCCTCAGACTACCAGAGGAAGCCTGTGCCTCCCCTCCCATCTTTCTTTTGAAATGTTTACTTATCTCCCCATGTTATTTTCTTCATCAGCAACAGAGATTTATACTGGTCACAGCCAAACCCCAGGGAGTTTGTGGTTTCATAGCTCCCTTTAGCTCCTGGGGAGGTAAAGCTCACCAGACGGACTTTGAACACTGTAGAAGAAAAGTCACTTCCTCTGCTAAGACAGGGCCTGGGAAGCCTCATCTTGCATTAAATCAACCATAACATTTAGTGAGAGGTCACTGTGAGTACGGTTAAATCTCACTCACTTATCATGAGAGGGAACAAAAGACTTGCCAGATGATCTGCCTTCAGGGTGGAGATGATATCCATAATCAAAAGTCAGAGTATTCACCTTTTAGCTACTATTTCCTCATGTATTCAAAAAGAGATTTTCAGAAAATTAAGTATTAGGATAGCCTTAAATTGTGTACTGATCTATCTATTGAATTCTTTACCCCTTAGCCCCTCAGATTGTGCTGACAGGCATTGACTTGAAACAACACAGCAGGAATCAAAGAATCATAGACTGGCTTAGTGTGGAAGGGACTTCAAAATCCCACCCAGTTCCGACAATTCCCTGCTGTGGGCAGGGGTACCACTCACCTGATCAGGCTGCTCAGAGCACCATCCAGCCTGGCCTTGAACATCTCCAGGAGTGGGGCATCTACAGCTTCTCTGGACAAACTGAACCTGTGCAGTTGGGAATAACTGCTTGTAAACTGCCCGTAAGATTTGTAATGTATTGCTTTAAAAAGAACCTTAATTTTTTTCTTCTATATACTTGGGTGTGGGGGTGGTCCCTCTCTTCTGCTGAGTGTACTTCACAGACAGCAGTGGTCGCAGGACATCCTCCCTTGGATGTCTCCTTGTGTGCACCAGAGACAGGTGCTGGCCATCTCCCAGTACTCAGCCTGGCTGCTGCTGAATGCTTTTCTGAGAAGCAGCTGGTGGGTTGTGTCAGCTAGTAGCAGCAGAGACTGAGGCTGATTGCCTGAGTCCCTTAGAAAACTAAGGAATGAGATAAGTGAGCTAAGGACAAGCTTTCCGCATTTCATAAGGCATCTTAGATAGCTAGCTCTGGGTAGGGAAAAGCCCTGGTGCTAATTTCCCCCACCTGCTGCTCCCCTGGGAATGTCTGAAAATAGTGCACGAAGTAAAACAAATTGCAGATTTCCGATGAATGCTGGTAATGTACCTTTTGAGTCACCTCATGTCCTCACTTGGGCTTTCATAGCAGGCTGCTGCTCAGAGAGGAGCCAAGACCTCTTCAGCAGGCTGCTCATGACCACAAAGGAATGGAGGCTGAGATCTCAAGAAGGCTCAGTCTGGTATGTGGTATATATATGCAGGGATATACTTACACAGCTCTCCTGTCTCCACATTTTCCAGGGCCATTCTGGTTTGCAGCACTTTACCGAAATGCACAGGCTTCAGAGTGGCTTGCTGTTTCCCTGCAATGTTAAATATTCAGAACCAGCAACTGCTGCCCTTTCCCTAAATGATGGTAATAAATAAATCATTGGCACTTTTGTGAACTGAAACTTCTCCAGCTCCTCCGGCAAATATTCTGCTGCTGAACTAAAAAAAAAAAGCAATAAAGCTTTTTTAAAAAAAAAAAAAAAAACAGTTTCTCTAGCCTAAACTTCCTGAACTCTTTGTACACTGTGGAAGAGATCTAACATAGTACTGCTTTTGTTGTCTGATCACAACCAGCTCTGCAGGAGGGATATTCCTCAGGTATTCACATGTTTCAGATTACTTCCCTCCAGCTGGCATCTTTGGCTCTTGAAATATCTACTGAAATTAAAAGTACACTGTTGGTATTTTCTGGGCATGATCTCAGCCAGAGCACCATTACATTTCTGTCAGGAGGAATGTGACAGCAGCAGTTCTCTGGGATGGCCATTTTCCATCTCTCTCAATTTCTTGAATTGCTGATTCCCACGGTGCTGGAGGCACTGTGGATATCTGACTTCCACATCACAGATCTCCTCACATCCCATACGTCCTTCTACCAGAGCCTTCGCACAACCAACACAGTTCAGCTTTCTCATTGCTTTCCACACCCTCCCTATTTTCTGGTGGAAATCCTTTCAAGCCCTCTCTCGGATCCTCAGCCTTGGCTTTCCCTTCCAGCCTGCAGTGGACTCCTCCTGCTCTGCCTTATGGGTGCCCATTCTTAAATCTTTCTTACTGCTCTCTATGAGGTAATGGCTTTAAGTCGTGCCAGAGGAGGTTCAGGTTGGGTATTAGGAAACATTTCTTCTCAGAACAACTGGTGAGGTATTGTAACAGGCTGTCCAGGAAGGTGTTGCAGTCATCATCCATGGAGGTGTTCAAGAACTGTGTAGATGTGGCACTGAGGGACATAATTAGTGGGCATGGTGAGGATGGGCTGACGGTTAGACTGGATGAACCTACAGGTCTTTTACAACTTTAATGATTCTATGATTCTGTGGGTATCAAAAATCACGCTTAATAAGCATTTCCACATAAAACTCAAAAGTTTAAGTGTTTATTTAAGGACTTTCTGCTATGGAAGACATTCTAATTCTCTCATAATAAAAGCCTATGAACAACTCTTTACTGCCATAAAGCAAAGGTGAAGCAAATATTCTACATGATGGAACATAAATTCTGAAATGCTGGTGAGTAGGATCAAAAATGAATTTGGTTTACATGCACTATTACAGTGCTCATAATATAGAGCCTTTTACAGCTATCTGATCATGGATACAAGGCAGCTGTAATTTGGTTTCCAAAATTAGTTTCTGAATTTTTAGATTCTAGAATTCATTTTGTACTCTGATATTTTGTTTCTTTGTAATGCATTATACCCAGTCACTCCAGACACCTTCAAAAACGTGGAAAACACAGCCCTACATCTTTGTGAAGTAAGGAAGTAGACTTATTTTGGTACAGAAGAAAATGAGGTCGTAAAATTTTGCTACAAAGGTACTGCAAAGTTCTGATTTCATACCTATCTGACAGCAAAATTCTTTCTTTATTTTCATAGAATCATAGAACCATAGAAACTTCAAAGTTGGAAAAGACCCTCAAGATCACCCAGTCCAACCATCCACCTATCACCAATAGCTCTCACTAAACCATGTCCCTCAACACAATGTCCAAACATTCCTTGAACACTTCCAGAGTCAGTGACTCCACCACCTCCCTGGGCAGCCCATTCCATTGCCTGACCACTCTTTCAGAGTAGTATTTCCAAACGTCCAGCCTGAATCTCCCCTGGCGCAGCTTGAAGCTATTCCCTCTAGTCCTTTTATTTTATATTTCATTTTTAAATAGACAAAATTGAGTATTCTTAAAGTTTTTATATATCCGTGTTCATGAACAGACTTTCTTGTGCCCAAATTAGTAAACTGCAACAATTTCATCAGGTTGAGCCAGCTGGATTGCCACCTATAGAAATCCTACTTTGGTTCTTCTGCACTATCCATCAGACACAGTGTGAATGTTAATGCCAGGTCTACAGTAAAACAGGATTAGTGCTTTCAGCTCAATCCCATTATGAATTAAGCTCACATCATATATCCATGACTCCTTATAAATCAGCTGAAGCATTCCGGTGCTCATCATCTTGAAGATGACAAAGGATCTTGCTGTATGCGAGCTAACAGTGCCAGCCGGAGGGTTTGCTGAGAAGTAGGGCAGTAGTCCCCTTCCCACTGGACTGTGATTTCATATCCTACATTTCAAACTATCTTTTATGAATACAGGCCAGTAAGCTATTAAAGAAAGGAGAGGTGGTAAATTCTGAAAAATGAAAAGGTTATAATAAAACGAATGGGTTACAATAAATCGCTGGGTACTGCTACATGACTCTCTCTTTTGGGTATCAGAGGAATGAAGGCTGATCGACAATACTGTAGTATGGGTGATTTATCTGAGTTTCCAGCCCATAATGCACCTAAAAAACACTTTGATGGGAGAGTCAGAACAGACACAGAGATGCACTTCTGCTCCAGCTGGATCACAACACCTTTTCCCAGTGGAGCTGCAACTTGTAAACAGTCAGACACAAGAAAATGGTTCTTTTTTGTTTGTTTTTAGATTTAATTAGTCCTGTGTGCTCATACCAGCTGAGCAAAGGGCAAAAAGCCTTTCACCTCTACCCCCAAGGTAGGCAAATTGCTCTAAAAAATCTTTGGCACAAGAGTAAATTGTACCAATACCTCATATCCTTGATGAGGACTGTGCTCACAAAGTCATTCTTTCCAAGGGAGGCAAATGGGAAACACCAATTACAAAGGCTGCTGTCCTTCAAATAGAATGAGCTTTCTATCTTCCAAATACTGAAAATCCTCCTGAGACATTGCCTATCTGAATACATCACTTAATCTTGTAGAAAGCCCCAGGACTGAAGGGTGCGTGCAGTAAGAAATTGCATCAAGCAACCGTACTGAAGATAAATGGCTTTGAACTTTCATGGCAACAATGAAGAACTACTTTAACATCCATGCAGCACGGGCCAAAAAAATCCAGGCTTTTAGACAAAGAAATAAACTTATTCAAACAAAAACTGAAATGTGGGGCAGAGTCTTAAAAGCATTTTCTTTATTGCCACAGACTGGGTGTCTGCTTAGCAAGACTAATTTCAGTGCCAGTCAAGTCC